TTAGGGAAAATTAGGTCTTCTTTAACAAGAATCTGAACCTCTTTCCATTTTCTCAGTTATAAAATATTTCTCTCTAAAAGGACCTTTCTGTATTTCTTTTTTTAAGGGTATTTTGTAGTTTGTTCTGCTTTTTCCCTCTCATTGACGTAAACTGGGTATACTAGAAAACTATGGACTTTTATAAACTTATTTATAACTTCCTAATTTTCTTAAATAAACCAGAGCATCTAACAAGTACACTCAAGGTGTCAGCTCGGGCTGCTGTCCTCTCAGAGTTGAACTGGGAAAAGACCTGTCCAAGTCCACACTCATTTTGGAAAGATGGGTTCCTATGGGCTGTTGACCAGAGGCCTTCCTCAGTTCTCTGTCACAGGGAAGCTCACACATGGCTATTGGATGCCATTTAAACAAACAGATAGGAGACAGAGCAACAAAAGCCAAAAATATGAAACCCAGCTTCTTTTTATACATAATCTGTTCCTTTGAGTCTCCCAAGATAACATAATTAAAGTAACATCCTGAAGATCAAGGTACAATCGACACTTCCTTTGACACTCCCTTTGACACTCCCTTTATCTATACTTAATCTTCTTCTTCCTGGAATTCCACAGAACCAGCCTTTTCCTATTTATGCAAGCAGGCCTCCCGAGATAAACCATGCACTCTTTTGAATTTGGGGAGCTTTAGCTCCCTACACTGTTGACCAGAGGCCTTCCTCAGTTCTCTGTCACAGGGAAGCTCACACATGGCTGTTGCTTGCCAATTTTATCTGCCAACAAATAGATAAGTGACAGAGAAACAAAAGCCAAAAATATGAAAGCCAGAGACTTTTTGTACCCTAATCTCAGAAGGGACATCTCATCAGTCTAGCCATGTATGTGTTGGTTGAAAGCAATGCAGTAGGCCCAGGACACATTCAAGAGGGTGGGTCCAGATACAGGAGGCAGAGGTGAATGAGTGCATATTGGAATTTGCCCAAGGCCTCCCCTTCTATCAGGACATTGGCTTCTAAACACCTTAGGACTGGAAAGATGTCTCTCTGCTGCCCAACATAGTCTATAACCCACCACACCACAATGCTCTCAGCAAAACTTCCCTGCAGATAAACCGGCATATGAGTAGAAATTGTCTCTGATTTAGTGTTTCTGCAGACTCCAGCATGTTCCTTCAGGACATGCACTCAGAAAAAGCCAGCATGGTTTCTCTTCCATCACCAGAGTCCCTCCATTGATATCACACCCATCTGCAACCATTCTGTGCCCAAATTCAACAAATGTCCCCAATGGCTTCTGATTTCTGCTCATTAAGAAGAGTTCATCCTTTTCTATGATGGATTTTCTTTACTTACTTTGTGTTCACCACTCCTAATATTTAAATAATTGTGCTTGAGGCCCTCTTCAGTTTCTCAGGTTTTTCAATTGATAAAACGAGTTCATATGGGAATGACAGTACTTTGCAACCTCCTACATCCTATCCATTCAGTCTTCCTGGTTCTGAATGAGGAATTTAGCAACTGCTTTGTCATTAACTGATATGAAGGAAGTGTGACAAAACAAAGATGATGAAGTAGCAGACGCCAGCCTCCGTTTCCCCTCAAAGATCAATGATTAGATGGCTACTTTTGAAAAAAGAAAAGAAAAAAGAAAAAGAAAGAACCCTGGGAGAGCTTGGAATTCCACGTAGGAGGCTTCAGCAATGCAGTGGAACAAAACAGCTGAGAATCACCACACAAAGCAAAGGAAGGACAGCTTCACACATCATCCCACCACCTAGGCCAGCACCACTTACCACCAGGAGGGAACTTCCCAGCTAGAGAAAGTTGTTTCCCTCCTGGGAAAAGGGAGAGTAGAAATTGTGCAAGCAGCTTCCCCAGCCTTTTAGTGGGGCACAGGAAGAATCTGTTTCTGCTTCACCCAACCCAGAGGATGGCAAAGCTTAGACATAAACACACAGCTAAACACAAGGAAGAGGAGCAGGGACCACCAATATCAGCCACAATAGGACATAACACTGAATTAAATACAGATACAGAGACCAATGGTACAGAATCAAAAGCCTAGAAATAAACCCGATATATGATCAATATTTAACAAGCGAGACCATGTTCGTTTGCAATCTCTGGAGCTTCCAGGCTGAAATTTGAAACTAGTCCCCAAGCACAGAGGGCAAAAGAGAGACAAAAAAGTGAAACAGATCACTCCAGATTGGTAGATGGCAGTTTTCATAAGCTAAAAAATTTCCATACAAGGCTTGTCTTGGGTGGCTGCAACACAAGATGATCTACACACCTGCCCAACAAATCTTAAAAATTAATGTATAAAAGAGGCCTTAACTGGGTTCAGTCATGTATGACATTCAGATAGTCTCAACACTTTACAACCTCAAGGCTATATCTTTGGGCCTGCTTCTAGCTGAGCGTATGCAAGTAGAATGAACATTCCGAGGGCAGAGGAGAGGCAAGCAGACTCTGATTCCCCAGGTACAGCTCTTGAATTAACTGGAAGTCACACCTTCTTGATGACTTCTTCCAATAGACCCAGTCATCAGTATTTATAAAACTCCCCAAGGGATTCCAATAAAATCCACAGAAATTACCTACATCCTCATAAATTACCTGAATAAATAGATTTGACGGATGCAAAATTATATGGAATGTATGCAGAAACTGTGGAAAAGGATGTAGAGTTAAAGTAAATAACAAGAGAATCGTGCATTTCATCTGCATACCAGAGTGGTTGAGGAGAACCTCTCATGCGTTTATTATGATGTACAAAGGATCCAAACATGCTCTCCAAGTTCAATGAAGCATAAATCAAAAGAAGTGACAATCACATGTGAAGCATGGAGAGGAATGAAAACCATGAGCCTACAAAAGAATGTGACCAAGGACACAGTATTCAGTTTACATGTTTGGTTTTGCTGGGTTTTCTAACCACACTCCAAAAAGAGTTACATGGATATTAAGACCAGACGTTTTGCTATGGAGCCTGCCTAAGGCACACTTAATGTCTCTGTTCCTCAGGCTATAAGTGCAGGGGTTCAGCATGATTGTGACTACAGTGTGCATGACTGAGGCCACCACATTATTCCTGGGGGAAGCCAACAATGCTGATCCAAGGTAACCTCCGATGCCTGTTCCACAGAATAAGCAAACGACTGACAGGTGAGAGCCGCAGGTGGAGAAGGCTCTGTACTTCCCACCTTTTGATGGAACTCTCAAAATGGAGGAAACAATTTCATAGTAAGAGAAAAAGATACTTGAGATAGAGAGAAAACCAGATATGGCGCCAACAAAATACATGACTAGGTTATTGGTGAAGGTGTCAAAGCAGGCAAGATGAAGGAGTTGAGAAGGGTCACAGAAGAAATTAGCAATTTTTACATTCTTGATGCACGTAAGTTGTAACACTATCAAATTGTGCAGCTGGGAGTCCAAAAGGCTGATGAAAAATGACACCAAAACTAAGAAGCAGCAGAGACATGGGTTCATGATGACTGAGTAGTGCAGAGGGTGGCAGATGGCCACAATCTGTTCATAGGCCATTACAGTCAAAAGAATATCATCCATACATCCAAAAAGGATCAAAAAAGACCTCTGAGTCAGGCAGCCCCCATAGGTGATGACTCTGCTGTGAGTTTGGATGTCCATGATCATCTTTGGGATGCTGGTAGAGATAAAACAGATGTCAGCCATGGAAAGGTTGGAGAGAAAGAAGTACATGGGGGTGTGGAGGTGGGAGTCCAAACTGATGGTCAGGATGATGAGCAGATTCCCCAATATAGCAACAGGTACATGGACAGGAAGAGCCCAAAGAGCAGAGGCTGAAGTTCCAGATCATCTGAGAGTCCCATGAGAAAGAATTCTGAGACAAGTGTTAGATTTCATGGTTCTATGTAGCTTGGACACCTTTTGAAAAGGAAAAGAAGGTTGGAAACAGGAAATAAGTAAATGGGCACACAGAACTGTTTCTATATTTTGGATCCAAGCAATTGACTTGTGAGGTCATACATCCCAGTACCTTAAGCAGTATTTCTCAGTATGATAAATTCTTTCTTCTTAGAATTGTACTCTTATTTGGTTTTTTTTTTTTTTAACCTCTTTTTATACACAATTATTTTAGAGAAACTTGACTGAAGAGTATCAGGGAAACAAGAAAATTAGAGATAACAAATCCATGATCACTGGAAAATATAGAATGAGAATTACCCTTCACCCTTTAAGAAAAAAAACTCTAATTTAAAGGAATTAAGAAGTAGCTAAATATACCTTATTTTATTCAAATGCAATGCTAGATAGTTCCTTTATTTAAAATATCTTAAATACCATGTACAAGGCAGGACTGTGTAATCTAGATTCTAAATTCAGTTAAATTTCATAATCAGAAAATATTATTGTGTGATAGTTAGCTTTATCAGTTTTATCACTCTTTGGTTTTCTCTTTTCTCCTTCATAGAAATAAGTGCTCAAATATGAGAGTTATTCTTTAAAATCGTTTGCTGTATAATTCCTATCT